AATAAATGCCAATTACTACATGATCTTAACCTTTATGGATGTACAATTGTAATTTACTATCTCATATTTTAAATAGATGTCGTTTTGGGATGTTGCACATCTATTAAGAATATTTTTTTTGTCAATAATAACCTTATTTAATGAAGATAGAGATGAATATTTTGAGAAAAAGATGAAGAGTGATTATGAAAAGACGTGATGTATTTATTATTAAATGAGGGTAATAATAGAAAAAATATGTACAAAAGATCCAAAACGACATTTATTTAGCAAATAGTTGATAAAGCTAGAATGACATTTAAAAAAAATAGGAGGGAGTAATATTTACAATGTGACAAATTATTCATTCTTATTTTTTAAGAATCCTGTGCATTTGTACATATATAAAACACGTTTTTGTTTGTATTTATTAATTAGACATGTACTCATATCATATAAAGATTATTACTTTTTCTTAAGTTATATTTATCATTCAAAAATAATTGAGATTTAAATTCTATTTTAACCATGCAAGTTTACATTAGTAACATGTATAAAATAATTTATATATTTGTGGCATATAACATAAATAAAAAAATTATTGGTGTTTCTGATTTTTGAAAAAATAAAAATATGTGCCAATCATATTTTTCTTCCAACAATGCAACCAAATATAGCGGTTACAACTCTGAATGTGCCAATCAACTTTAAGTTCCAACATTAGTCATTACACATTTGAATATTTTGCTACCAAATTTAGAATTAATTTAGTATTTGATCCAAAAACTAAATAATAAAAATACATATATTAAGGTGTAACGGTTTTAGCAGATTAGTGAGTAATTAATTAAAAAAATATAACTCCTTTTGGAGGGAAATGAAGATAGATTTTATTAATGCAAGTTTGAACGGGAAATTGACAGTTGCTCTATTTTAATATATATATATATATATATATATAGAAAATGGATCATATGAGAATACAAGTTAATGAAAGAAGTGAGAATGAATAAGGGCCATTTGATCTAATAAATTAACGGTCAGATCGCAGTTAATCCGCAGTCAATCCCGCGGTGGCATTTTTGAAATTTAGTGACTCTTAATGGACAATTGTGAACGCATGAGGGCATAAATGTACATTACATCTAAAAATTGAGGGGCTTGGATCTAGGTCAGATTTAGTTCGAGAACGGCGAGAGGAGAAAGGGGTGACTGAGAGCGACAAGACTGAGCGAAGATGAAAGCTAGATTAGGGTAACAATCAATTGAGGAATGGCTGCATATCGAGATCATAGATAGAGTCCCGAGTTGTTGGCGAATGTTGTACAGTGAGAAGATTATGAACATGAACTCGTCAGCCTTTGCAGTTTGACTTTATCACTTGAGCAAAGGAAGGGAAGAAGGATTTTCTTGAAGAGAAGCTCCATTCATTGATGCATGTATGTTATGTTTGTTGTTTCTGTTCATGTTCTTTTCTATAGTTTTATTCTGTGATCACTGGGGTTCTGGAAAAATCTGAAAAAAAAAAATGGAAATATA